CTTTCAGAAAATTCAAGCGTGTTTTACCTTTTGAGTTTTGAGTATTGCATTCAATACTTTCACATGTCAGTGTATTGCGCTCGAACAGTGTGATCCCTTCTCCATCCGGCGCCACCTTTGTGCCCGAGATGGGAGGGAAGTGGAGGTAGAAGCTTTCCTTCTGGTCCATGAAATTTTGGCCCACCCTCCCGCACCTTTTCCAGTGCTTCGCACTGACTCGTCTTTTCTGCCTAGCCCTTGCCGTTTGTGGCAGGGCGAGCAGTAAGGTGTGATCAACTTTCGACTCTCTGCACCCCTTTGCCCTTTTCGAGAGAAAACGAAGACGCTGTCCGATGTTGCATTCTTTTGCATGTCGCTATTCTGAGTCAGTACATGTACCATGTCATTGACACGCGGTCAACACTTAGGGAAATAAAAATACAGTAGTCTGCATGCTCAAGTTGTCAAGCTGATGATCGGATTGATCATCAAATCCTTGTGCAGAGGCCCGAATCAATTCATTTTTGAAGCAAGCCTCAGTGCCATTGATTCCGCTTCCGGCAATCGACATCTGTATGAGCCAGCTAGCTATCTATTGAAACCAGCGCAGTGGCAACCATGGCAACATCTATGGAAGCCACTGGGGGCGTACATGCAGCGTGTTTGCGCAGATGACGGCTGGGTTCTCAGCAATTGGTGCATGCTAACGACCAGAACCTTGCCAACAGACTGGTTGCATGATCATGAGGCCAGGGCTCGTCGGTCCCAATGGCTCAGTCAAGCTGCACGATACCTTTTCCTTGTCACCATCATGGCTGGCTTGTGTGGGTTTGGGTTCCTTTGGCAAGTGCACAACGGCCCACTGCAGGGCTACACAGATGCTTGGCTTTTTTGTAGCTGCCATGTACTTGCTTGGCATCGGCTGGAACGTAGTCCTGCCTTGCGTTGATCTTCCAAGGATGAGGTTTCCGCGAAAGCAAGTGATCAGAATGTCAACATGCTCGAGCAGCAGCTGCGAAAACTACTTGCGAGCCCAAGCATCCCTGCTACATCGCCGATTCTTTCGCCAGCCCGTGCTGGCGGTGAATCGACTTCAGGCACAACCGGAGTTCGCGTAGTTGTTCCATTTCAGATTTTCCGGTGTGACTGTGTGACATTCAAGCGAAAGCCCTTAAGGCGTCGCAGCGAACTCCGGCATCTCAGTCGTGTCTGGCATGCCGCACTTTGCAGCAGAGGGTCCACTTGATGATGTGGGCGCCCTGCCGGCGCCCCACGGAGTCGCAGACAGCTCCAGCACCGGTCTAGAAGCTGCCGGCGCGGACTTCGATCCATCCGACGAAGCCGGGAGTGGAGGCGACAACGACTGCCACGACACGCATCCGAATGCTGACAGTGCTGGCCTCGGATGATGTGGATGATGTTTGGCAAAGCCTGTCCCAGGGTTCGGACGAAAACAAAGAAGAACGCACGGCCCGGGGCAGAAATGCCAGGGAAGCCAGACTCCATGATAGCGTTTGGAAGTTGAGTCGGGGGTGAAAAAACAGCATGGACAAGAAAAGTAAGGGTTTTGCGTGCAGCAGTATGGCCTTGGTTCGACACGAATCGTGACAGCACGCGGTTCCCAGGAAAGTCTGAGTCAAGGTTGTATGTACCGAATGGATCGGCAATCATTTAACAGCGGCCAACCAATACCTCCACATGCGCACGTCCATGAATGATGAATCTTAGGCCCGGATATGCTGCACGTGGTCTTCGCTTCGGATGAGAATCAGGTGGAAGGCGCTCACTGCAGCAACGGCGGTTGTGTGTTTGACATCACTCAGCACGGCGGCCTTACCTGGCTTACCCGCTTCGCTGATGAAAGGTGTGCAGGCAAGTGTCGCCTCGGTGGTGTCCGCAACAGCATCCCCAGACGAACTGACCATTCACATTATTGTCCAAGCTCGATCTCTCAATACCTTCAAGGACATGGGAAGTTGATTTGAAACGATCGGCAAAGTCACGGATGACAGTCCCAAGTCATGATTCGTGACTTGGACAGGAGCGGTTCGGTATTCGTCCCGAGTGTCACGCGACAGTCAGCGTGACCGGCGTCTTGATCAAGGTCCATTCCGCCACTGAGCTTTGCTAACGGAGGTTTCGGGCACGGGGCACCAAAGCTTCAACTAAAGCATCGCCTTTCTTTGGTGTTCCCAAGGTAGAAGGCCAACTCATCGAGAAGGCAGTGGCGAAGGTTTCGTCAAGCTTGCGCAAGGAGCGGTGCCAGGGCAGCCGATCATCTGAGTAGCTTGCGGCGGGCAGAAGCTTTGCTTTCAGGAGCGGGGAGCCATTGACACACCGGAAAACTTCGCCAGGTTTTATATGCATTTGATCTTAGAAAGAGCAGCCGAGCCCTCAGTGTTGAAGGCACAGGCGGCACAGGTGCTTAGCTTGCGGGCCAGCCTTATAAGGTTGTCATTTACTTGGACGCAGACACAATTGTCCAGGCCGAGTGGGCGGGATTGTTTCACGGACTGGGAAAGAATTTGGGCATCTCATTTGGATGGGAGTGTGCAGCCTGCCGTGTAGCCGGCAAGCCGGCAGGCTGATCTAGCTGAGCTACGCAAGCAGCTGCTGGCCAGTGGGAAAACCATTGGCTTCGTAGCGCGCGAGAATGAGGACTGACCCGATATGGTGTCAGGTCTACATAATTTCAAAAATCTCTGCTTGGTGCTTGTGTTGGCGGGGTGTTGCAAGTGTGCGCCAGGTTAGAATGGACAAATTTCTCAGAAAGCGACTTTCCTGGTTTTGGACACTGCTGCCGGATAGCGAGGCAGACGAGAGCGCAGGAGGATGTCAGATGTCGATTCCGCCGAGGCCCAAAGGTTGCAGCGCGCAACTTGGGGCGAGCTGGAAGACGTTGCACGGCTCTCAGTTGTCGAGAAACCTGTTTTGGTCCTGAGGAATTTGCGGGCCGAGGATGTCCCTCCAGGCCTACAACGTGGGAGTCTTCGCAGTTAACCTCCAGCGCTGGAAAGACCAGCAAGAGTCCCGGAAGCCGCTGCAGATCGCTGCAGCATCACATTCGAGGTGAGAGCGCGATGGACAGAGTGAGACCGTTCCCTTATGGAGATACAGTAAGCCAGTAAGCACATTCCGACTCCTCCGTCGTGGTTGGGCAATTTTTCCTTTGTCAGCCACGACAGGAAGTTGAAGCGCGGAGAGAATAGGTCAGTAAGGGTCTTGCAGAGCATTCTCCATTGCCGCTGAGTTTCTCAAGGGTTGGCTACTGTAGGAAAGGAGGCAAACAGAGAAGAAACGCGGAAGATGGGGCCAGTGAGATGCATCCTCTGTGCGGTGGTTCCAGCAGCACCCGAACAAAGCGCAGTTTCACGCCGTAGGGGCCGAGCGGGCAAACTCGCAAAGTTACTGGGGGCCAGTGGGTATCAAGTACCATTGATGGTTGCAGCCCCGTGCATGCCCAAGAACAATGCCGCGAAGCCGCAGTTCACTTCTTCCTCGTGATGGAGAGATGAACGGGCGTACGGACAGTGTGGTAACATTCAGGACAGGGATCATGTCGAAGGAGAGTTGACTCCAAGTGTTGGACCGTGTTTAGAATCGTATTGTTCCCTTGATATCTAGTTTCGGTATATTTCGGTCCGACAGCCCGCAAATGCGATCTTCAATGAACTTGCAAAAAGACGAGGCGAAGCCGTGGACTTGTCATGCTAGACACTGCTTTGGAAAAATGCCTTCAGCCACAAAGAGCTGGGCAAGCGCGGTGCACCTGGAAGCCTTTCTGACCTGAGGCATGTGGTGGAGAGGGTGGAAGAGCTTGTCACGCAGCACAACCGCTGTGGCGGCAAGCTTTGGGCTCCTCGGATTCAAGTGTTTTCATGGTTGGAAGGAGGTGCGACTTGTCCCTTGAGATTATTGCGAGCCTCAGTTATTTCCGTGGTCGCTGCTTGTGTTGAATTAATGCTTCACAGGGAGTCACTTCCTTTTCGCATCCACGACTTTCACAAAATGTCATCAGTTGCAGGGGGCCAGCGTATGGTTTTGTGACGAGAGGCAGCGAAGCTGTCAGCTGGCAACAGCACCAAGAAAGTCGTGGCCTTCTGTCTGCCCTTACAACGAAGTCAGTTTTCCGGTTTTCCTCAGCATTACACGAGCGGTTTCGATGAACGATGCCTCGAAGATGAAGATGCTGATGAGGGATCCTGACGATTTTGATTATTGCTGCATGATGGGTCGTCTGGCGAAGCCGCGACTGCTTGCGACATCGAAAATGCTTGACAAAGGCTTATAAGAGCAAATTGAGCTGAGATTTTCTGCAGTGTTTGGCAGGAGAGAGAGAGAGAGAGAGAGTGCAAAATCCCACTATACAATCCAGACAGTGAGAGCAATCTAACACGAGA